AGAAAAAAAAAAGAAGAGTCTCTTAGGTTTGTCTACCTGGACAGTCCTCAGGCCTTCGACTAAGCATGCTCAGAAATGCAGCCACTAGCCTACATGCTCTTCTCCACCCATTCATATAGGCTTGTGTCAGCCGGGTGCAGTGGCTCCCACCTGTCATCCTAGCTACTCAGGAGGCTGAGATCTGAGGATCACAGTTCAAAGCCAGCCTGGGCAGGAAAGTCCGTGAGCCTCTTATTTCCAATGAACCACCAAACCGAACCAAAAAGCCAGAAGCAGAGCTATGGCTCAAGTGGTAGAGTATAAGCCTTGAATAACAACAACAACAACAACAACAATAATAATAATAAAAGCTCGGAGACAGTGCCCAGGCCCTAGAGCTGTCTCCCTCCTCCCCTCGGTGCTCCCTGTGTTGGTGGAGATGTTGCCCTTTGCACAGAACTTCAGTGCTTTTCTTACTCACGGCAGGTGATCAATCTTCCTTTTATCTCCTGACTGAGTGTTTTGGCGTTACCCTCCCTCAGATGAGATCCACCGCCTCCTGGACAAAGGCAGCGAGACTGAAATACATCTCCAGCTGTTAAATCCCAAGAATGCTTGACATCTCCACAGCGTTGGCCATTCTTGACCTCTCTCCTTTCTCAAAAGCTCGCTTCCCTTTGATTCTGTGACACAGCCTCCTTCTTCATCCTGACCCTTCCCCGATAGATGCCTTTCTGATTTATAGGAAAAGCCAAGGCTGGTCCCCACCCATCGCTCTTCTTCTCGCCCAAGGCCTGTGGTGTGGGTAGGAGGCCGGGCTTCATGAATTCATTCTCACTTTGGGGTGGGCTGGGAAGTTTCTTGTTTCTGTGTTTTTTTTTAAATATTATTTTAATGTTAATCTAATTAGGAAGTAATTGTTCAAAGACGCATTGATGGCTCTTATCTGGCCTTCTACCTCCTCCGGAGGCTGAGATCTGAGGATCGTGGTTCAAAGCCAGCCTGGGCAGGAAAGTCTGTGAGACTCTGATCTCCAATGAACCACTCAGAAAACTGGAAGTGGCGTTTTGGCTCAAAGGGGAGAAGAGGGCTAACCTTGAGCAAAAAAGCTCCTTATAGTATCCTAGTTCTTTAAGCCACAGTACCAACACACACACACACACACATACACCCCACAAACTCCTCCATTATTTCCCCTTCCCATCTCCTCTCTCTGAGTGACAGAGTTCCATTTTTATATCAGGTCCAGCGAATATCATGATGACACTGCTGCTGTGTTTTGCACATAATGAGAGCTGGTTAATGCTCTCTCTATGGGGCTGGTTCCATTCATCGTGCATCATTTCAATTCAAAGCCAATAGCACAGCCGTGATCGCTATGAGCTGAGGACAAGAATAAATGCATTGGAAAATAAGCATCTCCAGTCTGACCAGCTTTCAATGTTCAGCTCAGTCCAACAGCACCAAAGAAACCGACAATGTTCCCAAGTGGGTATCTGGTGAAAACTATTCATTTTCATGCCTGATGGGGTTCGGGGTGGCACAATCTCAAATCGTTTATCCCTGTAGGGGATAAATAGAAGCCAGGTGCTGGTGGCTCAGGCCTGTCACACTAGCTCTACTCAGGAGGCTGAAATATGAGGATTGTGGTGTAAAGTCAGCTCAGGCAGGAAAGTTTGTGAGATGCTTATTTCCAATTAACTACCCACCAAAAAGCCAGAAGTGGAGGTGTGGTTCAAGTGGTAGGGGCACCAGGTTTGAGTGCACACATATATCTAAATATAGTTTACATTTTCTTTGCTCAAGAAGAAAATAATAGAACAGTTTTATGACCATAAAGCAAAAATGGTCAACCGGTCCACTGGTGGCTCACGCCTGTCACCCTGGCTACTCAGGAGTCTGAGATGTGAGGATCATGGTTCAAAGCCAGCCTGGGCAGGAAAGTCCATGAGACTCTTATCTCCAATGAACCACCAGAAATGCCAAAGTGGTGCTGTGGCTCAAGTGGTAGAGCATTATTAGCCTTGAGCACAAAAGCTCAGGGACAACGCTTAGGCCTTGAGTTCAAGCCCCAGGACCAGGAAACACACACACACACACACACACACACACACTACCACCTAAACACCACTTATAAGCTATTACATTGCCAGATATTTGTTATGAACAATTTTATTTGCCTGGGAAGGTGGCTCAGTGGTAGAGCGCTGGCCTAGCATGCATGAAGCCCTGGGTTCGATTCCTCAGCACCACAGACACAGAAAAAGCCAGAAGTGGCGCTGTGGCTCAAGTGGTAGAGTGCTAGCCTTGAGCAAAAGAAGCTCAGGGACAGTGCCCAGGCCCTGAGTTCAAGCCTCAGGACTGGCAAAAGAAAGAAAAAAAAGATTGTGTGTGTGTGTGTGTGTGTGTGTGTGTGTGTGTGTGTCAGCCATCTGTGCAGGGTGTGCATTCCCATCCTCGTCCTTGATTAGTACAAAGGCTTTCTCTGGAGGGTTGCCTAGAACCAGTGGTAATTTTGTCTCCAGGGAACACTGATAAAGGGGGGGGGCTCCAGAAGGGAAGGGGGGGCGGTGACCTGAACAGAACATGTTTCTGTTTGGCTTTTATCTCTGCAAACACCAGCAACATTGTATTCCTTTATGTTCATGGACTGCTGCTGGACCAAGCCAGTCATTCACTGAATGGTGTGTGAGAAGCTCTTAAAGAAACACGTACCTCAGGAGGCTGAGATCTGAGGATCACGGTTCAAAGCCAGCTCAGACAGGAAAAGGCTGTGAGACTCTTTTCTCCGATTTATCACCAGAAAGCCCGAAGTGGCGCTGTGGCTCAAGTGGTAGAGGGCTAGCCTTGAGCAAAAGAGTTTAGGGACAGAGCCCAGGCCCTGGGTTTAAACCCCAGGACTGGCATGAAAAAATAAAAGAAGAAACATTCATCTACTTATTGATCTATATATCTATCGATGTATCTATCTATGTATCTATCTATGTATGTATCTATCTATCTATCATCTATCTATCTGCAGTACTGGTATTGAGCTCAGGGCCTTACTTTTTTTTTTTTGTCTTATTCAGGGCCTGGGCTCTGTCCCTGAGCTAGCAGTCTACCAACTTGAGACACAATGCCACTTCTGGTTTTCTGATGGGTAATTGGAGATAAGAGTCTCATGGACTTTCCTGCCTGGGCTGGCTTTGAACCTCAGTCCTCAGTTCTCAGCCTCCTGGGTAGTGTTGGCTGCTTTTTTTGTGTGTGTACCGGAGCTCATTCTCAGGTCTTAGGTACTGTTCTTTAGCTTTTTCACTGAAGACTATCATTCTACCACTGGAGCCACAGCTCCACTTCTGGCTTTTTGCTGGCTAATTGGCGATAAGAGTCTCACAGACTTTCCTGCCCAGGCTGGCTTCCAACTATGATCCTCTGATCTCAGCCCTCTGAGTAGCTGGGATTACAGGTGTGAGGCACCAAGGCCCGGCTGAAATAGGTCTTTTATTGTAGTGGTGGGAGAAGAGGAAAGAGGACCAGTGTGGTTGAAGTATTTTAAACGCATGTATGAAAATAGAGCAAGGTAACCTGTTGTCATGGTTTTAAGAAGGGCAAGGAGGAAAGCAAGAGCTGGTGGAGCTGATCAGATGTGTTGTGAGCCAATATGGATGTGTGCAAATAAAATCCTCTTGTACAAGGAACTAATAGACATCAATAATAAAAGTTAAAATGCAAAGCAAGCCAAACGCTGTCATCTTAGCTACTCAGGAGGCTGAGATCTGAGGATCCTGGTTCAAAACCAACCTGGGCAGGAAAGTCTATGAGACTCTTATCTTCCATGAACCACCAGAAAACTGGAAGTGGTGCTGTGGCTCAAGTGGTAGAACGCTCAGCTTGAGCTTGAAGAGCTGAAGGACAGCGCCCAGGCCCAGAGTTCCAGCCCCACGACCGACCAAAAAAACCAAAACAAAATGCAAAGCAATAGGATCCCATGAAATAACGTAGGATGGAGGCTGCTGAAACATTGCAAGAGCGAAATGAAGGAGAAGCCAGCAAGGCCAGAAGCTGAGGGGGAGAGACAAGGGGGGATTACGATTTTCTGCCTGCAGGTTCCCAGTGCGGCCAGCAGAGGGCGGTGGAGTCAAGGCACCGGGTAGAACACTTGTTCTGTATGGAGGTGTTTGGTTTCTGTTCATGCAGCCTTCATTCCCAGCTCTCCAGCCTCATGGTGTATTTGCATTCCCTCCCTCCTCGCTCTGGGTAGTTGGCTGACATTTTGAAATGTCAATGTCAAAAACACTTCACATCACAGAGTGGTGTCTGAGTTTCTCTTCTAGTTCTAGGCCTATAATTTAACCCATGGCAAAGCCCTCGGTGTTTCTAGCACCGGTGATTATTGGCCAGGCCACGGGTGGTTGTAGAACATGGATTCTGCTTGGTACAGGTCTGAGGACCATCCATAGCTGAGCTTTATCTGTGTCTTTGTTTTTTATTTCTTTTGCCAGTCCTGGGGCTTGAACTCAGGGCCGGGGCACTGTCTCTGAGCTTCTTTTGCTTAAAGCTAGCCCTCTACTACTTGAGCCACAGCACCACTTCTGGCTTTTTTCTATGTCTATGGTACTGAGGAATCGAACCCAGGGCCTCATGCATGCAAGGCAAGCACTCTACCATTAAGCTACCTTCCCAGTCCATTTGTTGTATGTCTGTTTTTCATTTATTTATTTAGTGCTGATACAGGGGGCTTGAACTCAGGGTCTCAAGCTGTTGCTTGCATTTTTAAATTTCTTTTTCCCTCAAGGCTGGTGTTCTATCTCTAATCCACAGCTCTACTCCCCAGCTTTTTGCTGGTTCATTGGAGATAAAAAGTCTCATGGAGCTGGGCGCCGGTGGCTCACGCCTGTCATCCTAGCTATTCAGGAGGCTGAGATCTGAGGATCATGGTTCAAAGCCAGCCCGGGCAGGAAAGTTTGTGAGGCAATTAACTCCAATGAACCACCAGAAAACTGGAAGTGGTGCATGCTCGCTGCAGGAAATGAAGGCGAATGACCAGGAGGCCAGGTCCAGTCTGGGCCCGGCGTCCACAGGTGACGGCCAACGGTCAGCCCAGCCTGGCCATCGCGAAGGAGATCTGTGTTCTCAGTTCACCCACACACATCCACGCGTGCCAGGGTCCAGGGGTGAGTCTCGGGAAAGATGGTGTGGTCTAGAACAAAGGCCAGTCCTTGGGGACCAAGAGGTCATCATGTCCAGCTGTGGCCCTGGGAGGCTTTGTGTGGCCTGGCCTTCTCCTCCTTTTCTTCTCCACTGGGCGCTGCAGCCCTGCGGGGTTTGTGGGTCCCTCTCAGCTTCCCTGGGGCTCTGTTATCAGCCTGTCTTTCATGTCTGCTTGGCAGTTGGAACGGATTCTGTCAGGCGTGTGCTGACTCTTCTTCACCAGCTGTGTATGAGGATAAGTTGTAAATAAACACACTTGCTCCGAGGCCCGTCCCTCCATTGTCCTTGATTCTCAGGGAAGAACAACAAAAACGTGTGTGAGTATATATGCAAATGTATATATAAAGTGCGTGCACATATATATAAATGTGTGTGTATATATGTGTCTAGCTACCTGGTGGAAAAGATCTCATAAGTCATTTAATGCAATTGATCCATTTTAAACTATTCTATTTTTTTGGTCATGGGTCTTGAACTCAGGGCCTGGGTGCTGTCCCTCAGCTCTTTTGCTCAAGACTAGGCACTTTACCACTTGGAGCCACAGATCCACTTCTGGTTTTCGATGGTTCACTTGAGATAAGAGTCTCACAGATGTTTCTCCCCGGGCTGGTTTTGAACTGCAATCCTGAGATCTCAGCCTTCCGAGTAGTTAGGATGACAGGCGTGAGCCACTGGTGCCTGGCTAAGAAATTCTTAAAAGCTTATACTACTTTGGCCAGTCTTGGCTGGGGCTAGCAGACGGATGGCAAAAGTCCATGAAGTGGACATTTACTTTTTTTTTTATTGTAAAGATACTATACAGAGGGTTACAGTTACATGAGTGAGGTAATGAGTACACTTCCTATTGAACATTGTTACCCCCTCCATTGTTTTCCCCCTACCATCCCTTACCTCCCTACCTTCCCCGAGGTTCTTTTTTTTGATTGTGAAAAAGTGATTACATAATTTCCCAAATTTCACAGTATTGTGGAATAATGATGCTCATTTAAAGTCACAAGTTCATTCTAACTTTCCTGGAGCAAATTGTCTATCACAGTCTATAACATATAACGGTGTTCACATGTTATACAACCGTACATGTGATCAGCAGCATGGGGATATTTAGTAGTGGTTTGACCAGATGAGTGGGAGTTCTTTGTTTCTTAAGTCTTGTTAGTTTTGTTGTATCACCTAGCATTTTGGATTTACTTTTTACTCTTTTATTTTTTGCATTTATAAGCATGCACATGAAATAGCTTTAAAAAGTTTGCCTTCATTAAGTCCCCCTCCCCCCAAAAAAACCCCTCAGATCTTTCCTTCCCTTTCCCCCAGTTATAACTGCTAGCCCTAATTTCAAGGCCTTCTGCTGTAAAAGAGGAATGGGAGATATGGCGTGGTAACAACTCCAAAAGAAAGATGTTTTCTGATGGTAAATGGAGGTTAGAGTTGTTTTTTTCCCCCCTTGATTATATAGGTTACGGATTCAGGAACAGGTAAGAGAGCTCCATTAGGAGCCCCACCCAAATTAGAATTAGGCCAGGCTCACGTCTGTCATTCTAGTGATCAGGAGTCTGAGATCTGAAGATCTAGGTTCAAAACCAACCCCTGTGGGACAGTCTTGTGAGACTTAAAAAAAAAAATCTAATAAACCAGCAAAAAGCCAGAAGAGGAGCTGTGGCTCAAGTGGTAGAGTGCCAGCCTTTAGCAAAAAAAAAAAAAAAAAAAAGGCTCAAGGCCAGAGCCCAGGCCCTGAGTTCAAGCCTCAGAACTGGCACACACACAGAGACAGACAGAAGACAGACAGACAGACAGACAGACACACACAGACAGACAGACAGACACACACAGACAGACAGACAGACAGACAGACACACACACACACAGACAGACACACACACAGACAGACAGACAGACACACACACAGACACACACACACACACAGACAGACAGACAGACACACATACAGACAGACACACAGTCAGACAGACACACACACACACACACATACAGACAGACAGACACACAGACAGACAGACAGACAGACACACACACACAGACAGACAGACAGACACACACACAGACACACACACACAGGCCCCAGACATCCACGTGAAGCAGGTCAGAAGCACATGCTTTACTATTTGAATGGGCCTAGGCGCGCGCGCGCGCTGCAT